ATTTCAGCTTAGCACCTAAGACCTTGTAGCTGCCTTTTCTGACCGGGTATTTCACAAGATAGGTCCTACTGCTGCTGGCCAAAGAAAACTGCCAGCCAACCTCTGAGAGTTCCTAAAATTGTCCGGCCTAATTAAGCACAGTTTGTGTAAGTGGAAAAATCCACCGAGGAGTTTGCTGCCAAATGTCCCCCGCAGGGCTCATCTGGGGTTACCTCTCCGCCGTGCCTCAGCCGCGGGGGCTCGGCCGCCCTCTCCCACCTCCGGCCTGTGCCCGTCTGAGGCCGGAGCTGGGAGGGCTGCGATCCTCCCGACCTGCCAAGTGGGGAAATTCCTCTGCACGCAGCAAAAACACCTCCCTGGCTTTTAATGGAACGTATCCTCCTCGGTGTGGAGACAAAGGCAAGAGCCCCGCCACGGCCTGTTCCTCCCGCCGGGCAGCGCGGCCCTGGCTGCGCTCCCGTCCGAGCGGCACCGGCGACAGCCTGTTTTTGACAGCTCTGCATAAGCACAGTTATTTCTAGCACAGTTTCCCTGAGCTGTGCCAACAGGCTTTTTTTTTTTCCTTTTTTTTTTTTTAACAAATATATTTTCAGCCCCCATCTAGCCCAAGAGTGCTATATTCTCCACCTAGGCACGGGTGTAGTGTTACAGGCCCTGGATGAGGCTGTGGGCAGGAGGAAGGATGACCTGAGTTCTTGTAAAGCACTTCTACCATAATCTCTGGGGCTTTGCCCTCTGACCTGGGCTTAACCACGCGTGGTGAGAACACAGACAGAGCTCCAGCCACTTTGGCCCTGCTGCTTTTCTGTCTCCTCGTACAAAGCACCACTTTGCTCCCCAGGTAGTGCCATGGTGGGAGCACATGCTGTGTCTGAGGGAGATGTTTGCTGAGCAGGACTTGTCGAGCCTGTCCCCCTCTCATCAAACCACCACAACTCACAGCAGTGCCCTGGCAAGGCTGGATTGAGCTGAAAGGAAAGAAATGAAGCTCTTTGAGCAGCTGACTGTGCTTGCCTTTCCCAGTTGCCATCCCTGTCCCAAACTCCTTGACTGCCACAGATCTGGGCTCCAGGGCTGCAGCTCTGCTTGTGGCCTTGGTAAGAACATCCCACACCTTCACATATCCACTCTCTGGGGATCTTTTATCAAGTACGTCCCTTGGTGGAATAAATCCCTTGGTACTCCTTCGGTAAACCCATCTCCTTTTGGTTGGACTTTGGTGACCCTTGTGGGTCCCTTCCAAATCATGATATTCTATGATCTCACAATTTTTTAGATCCTTCTTTTAGTGACAAAGGACATATCAATGGGTATCTGTCATTGCATCAGTTGCAGGAATTCTGCAGAAAAACCCAGATCTAGCTTTGGCTGATGGATTTAAGGAGTTTCTGACTGTTTTTTGTGGGATATGAGTGTGAGAGAAAGGAGCCCAGATTTCCAAGGTGCTTTTGCGTTGCAGAGAGCTTCCCCACAGAGCCCTCCCCTCAGCCCTTCCAGCCCCTTCTCTATTTACTTATGTATGATTTCTTTAGCTCTAATCTGCTACTTTGTTCTTGTGGAGCCGGACCTAACACATAAATAAGACGAACAAAGCAGAGAGAGTCCTCTAATGCCTCTCTGCACTGTTGCTCCTCAGAGCCAAACTAGATTTTAGGAGCTTGTCTGTGCCCATTGCTGTTTTCTCACCTGAAACCATAATCTTCTCTTTGTGCTTTTGTGCTTTCCGTCACTTCCATAGCAACCAGTTGTGATGGCTCTGAGGATTATCGCTTCAGGAAGGAAATAAGCAGTGATGGAAGAAAGAAAGGACCTGTTTTTTTGCTCTGATCCTGCTTTTATGATGAGTGCAAATAAAATAGTGTTTTTAACTGATCTCCAGACAGTCCACAAACTGAAAGGGTCGCCACAAAGTTTGGTTTGTTTCCTCCTTTTCTGTGAGTCATTGTGTTCAGGGCTTCTGGCTGAACCAAAACAATATGAGAAACACGTTTACCAAGAGCCTGCTCACCTTGCTTGGCTGACCTGTCCAGCTCAATCAGTTCATGCAATCAAATTGACTTTCCTCAGAAGGGATCACTAGTCTGGCACTAATGCAGCACAAAATATTTGTGCAAATTCCTCAGTAATAAAAACATTCTGAGGAAAGGACCTGGATAACACATGCTCATTGGTCACACTGAAGGCTGGGAAAACAAACAGAATAGTTTTCTGAGCTTTTGGCTGGCTTAACTGGTAGAAGTCCTGTAGGTAACAGTATCAACTTGGGAGAGAGACTTCTAGAGATCACAAGGATTATTTTATTCCTCTCCAGAGCCTCAGTCAGATCAAGAAACTCAGATATCTGGTGTCATAAGAAACAACACTGAGGATACTGCAGGGAAAAAGGGGTAGGGTGAGCCCATCAGCCAAAATCTGCCAGGAGAGTACAGAGCAGTACAAGTCTCTCAAAGTACTGCAGGAGGATCAGGGGGAGCTGAAAACAGGGTTAATGATATGTGTGATCAGTCCTGGGAAAAAACACTGGGGAGAGACCCTTCCCTGGAGGAGAAGGATGGGAAAGGGGGGAGAGCAATGGAAATCTGTGAGTCAGCAGTGAGCTGCTAAGGGAAATGCTACCAGAATCCAGAGTCAAACAGGGACAAAACCTCCTATTTCCTGACTGCTGTCCTTTTGCTGCAGATGTGGCTCTGCAGGGTCTACCACACCTGGGTCTCCACAGTCATTTGTGCAACCCCTTGCAATGCCAGGCATCAACACCCTCCAGCAGACCAGCATGGAGGGTTCTCTGTGCTGCCCTTATTGTCCTGAAGAGCCCCTGTAATTTGTATTATTGTTTTCCTAGAAATGATGGTGTGTTCTGGAGAAATGTGCGTTATTTGAGGTGCTCAACACAGTGATTTTTTTGTCAATGCTGGTTCAGTGACAAACTAAATGGAAAACAAGCTCATTCCTTCTACAGGGTATTGTTACTGCTAAGCCTGACTAATCACCCCCTGACAGCACCAGAAATCTGCTGGGGAAGGAGCTCCAAGGTGGGAATGGCAGAACCCAGATCCTCTCCTCAGGAAGCCCTTGGGGGAGCCGTGCTCTTTCCACTCCAGCCAGGACCATGCTCTCCAAGCCTGCTGCCCACTCCCAAAGAAGCCAGCTCCTGCCCAAGCCTGTGTGTCTCATCCCATTAATAAATGCCTTCTGAAGGGCACAAAACATTCATATGCTGGATCTGTGTTCTGGTTCAGGGCTATGGAGGAGGCTTGCTTTTTTTTATCTTTTCTCGGGTAGAGGTGGTTTGTTGTGAGGATTTCCTTCTGGTGTTGTCCCTGGCAATAGCATGCCCAAGGAGAGCAGCAAGGCTGTCTCCCCCTCTACCAGTAGCCTGCTTCCCAGAGAAAAGGTTCCCCCAGAGCCCTGAGGGGCTGGGAGACATGCTGGCACCTGGCTCTGGGCTACCCAGGGAGGCCCATCTCATGAGCCAAATCAGTGGGAAGCAGTCAAAGGTACACTGCTCCACCACAACCATGTGCTGGCAGCCCAAGGCAAAGTGGCTGGAAGAAAAAGACTGTCTTGGTGGGGAGTGAGAGGAGTGGAGTGTGGTGGGTTGGTGCCTGCACCACCACTCACAATTTCACTGTGGCTGCTGGGACTGGCAGGAAAGTTCCAGCACCAATGTGCTCAGCACAGGTCAGGAGGTGCCACCATCCCAGTGGGTATCTGTGGGCTTGGGGCAGAGGTGCTAAGTTGGGTCCAGCCACTCATGTGGCTCTGGATAGATGGGGTCACACCTTCCCTGTCTCCCAAAGTGCTGCCACACCAAGCTGGGAAAGGTGAGGTGAAGATTTGTGCAGGTGACCTTGAAAAGCTGGAGAGAAAGCCATTTGCATGTGTACTTTAGGAAATCTCTCCAAGGAGCCTAACGAAAGCTCTAATCACAAACCACCTTCAAGCCTGCAGTAATGACAAAGGGGAGCTTAGAACCACGAACAGGGTAATGCACTGAACTAATACATATTCACCACCTCTCACGTGGCGCTTGCATCAATCAGATCTGCTTCATTCTTCACAGTCTGATCCAAGACAGGTCATGCATAATCTTTTTTTCTTTTTGTTTGAGTCTGTGCTGGAGAATGGTGGTTCCAGTTCTGTTTACCAGGCTGTGCTGCAGAGATTGTTTAGCTGATGACTTTGGTGTGGTGTGTTAGAAAGGATTAGTTTCCTTGTGGGCATGTGCACAGGTACATAGAAAATGATATTTTTTCTTGTTGAAAACTTCTGGGGCAAAACTAGGCTAGGATATATTTGGCAAAAAGCCCCAAAGGGACATTTTTCAGAATGTTGCTCTTAAACCTTTTCACATCAGGGACATGACTGTCCTCTATGTGGAGGTCTTTTCCACCACTTTGACAATGTAAAATGCCCTCCAGGGAACAAGCAACATTTCATTTCCTTTTTGCAAAACTTTTTTTTTGTCTTAGATGAAAAGGAAAGAAAGACAAAGTGAGAGAATAACATTAAAAAAAAAAAAAAAAAAAAGAGATAATAAAAAATTTACTAGGGCTTGTAGGGAGGACAACATGCAAACCCAGGACTGCAGGGTCACATAAAAGCAAGGCTGGAATAGAGATAGTTAGGTCACATGGTCCCATAAAGCAGGACCAGATGGACAGAAACCTGCTTTATTGCAGGTCTGAAACAGTCCAATGTGCTGAAAACTCCCCCGAGCCCTCCCTCCCCATAAAAGCTTGCCTTTTCCATTCACCTTTCTCTGTTCCTTTGGCTACAAGATAGCAGAGACCTACAGGGCACAGGTGGAGGAACACAGAAAGCTTGTGGTGCATGCAGACAAAAGGAACAAAAGAAAACACACAGAAAAAAGGCTGGTGATGTATGAAGCCAGTAACTAAAGCCTTTCACACAAGCTTCTTCCTTAATTACTGTATTTAGCGCCACTGGCGTAATCAAGAACACGGAGCCGTGACTGTTCAGTCAGTCGTGACAGACCCGGCAGAGGGTAACCTCATCCCCTCTCCTCACTGCCTTCCCTGAAGCCTTTTCCAAGGGCATCCTTCCTTCTCTAACCCTGCAGCCTAGAAAATAAGTCAAGGATGGATTCTGAGCTGTACAGGATGTTCTGTATGCTGAAATGACTACTGTCAGTATGCCACATTGTATCTATATTCTATAGATTCTATATATATCTACAGGTATTCTATACCTAGGAGCCACAAAAATCCCCCAAAGCTAAAACTGACCTGGCAACATCAACTCTTGCTATATTTCCTTATTACAATTCCTGGGGAAGCAGATTTCACTTAAAAGGTGCCCTCCTGCTCTTCTCTCTGCTGTGCATGCAGCTCCCTCCATCCAGCTGTGACCATCTCTGTTTGCCTCTCTCTGCTCTGAGATAACTTTCAAAAATTACCTGGTTTAAAAAAACCAAATCCGTATTTTGAGAATTTTTTTGTTTGTTTTTTTGATAAGAGTTTTAGTAAGCTGAGACAATTTAGAGCTTTTTTTCCTCCATGCTCACCAAAAGGATTGAGCTGGTGCCCCAGAGGTTTTGGAGAGTTGCCTTTGAAAACAGGAGTGATGGTGAACTGCTGGCAAAGAGAGGACATGGACTGAGCAGGAGGGATCAGAGTGTGAATTCCCATTTTGTTGCTCAGGAAAGTTAAACCTCTACACATCAGGCATGTGGCTGTCCTCTACAGGGAGGCCTTTTCCACCACCTTGACAATGTAAAACACCCAATGAGCAAGCAATATTCTCATCCCCTTAAACTGAATGTCTTGGCTGCAGAGGGATGTCATCCTGCAAAAAACAGGATCTGATAGAAGCTCTTGTTATAACATGAAGTACTTGGGCTGTGGAATAACTCCAAGTTCATGTTGTTTGGGAAACCCCATTATTATGATTACACTCCTTTTAAATTTCCTGACTTCCTCACGGCTCCTCTTCCATCCTGAACTTTGCATTCTTTTCTCTTTTTCCCATCACTTAGTTGTAACTAATGAAAGGGAGAGGAGGGAAATGTTAAAAGTTAATTTCAATAGAGCATCAAAATTCCTTACCAACAGTTATTTTCCAACTTCCACTCAAATTTAACAGTCTCACTCACAAATATCATTGAGGATGCACCATATTCATGCCAAGGCTTAAGGGATTTGTTCAGAATGAAAATGAGGTGGGGAAAATTGCATCTGTGCGGGTATTGGCTCCATTCAGCCCTCCCCAAAGATCATAGGCACTTCACCACACATCCCAGGTGAAGCTGGAACACTCCTGGGAGAGGAGTGTGGGGTGATAAACACCAGGGAGAACAAGACTGGCAGAGCCATCAAAATAGGATAACAGGAATTAGCTGAATAAGTAAGACATAAATGTCCTCTTCCTACAGCCCTGTTCCTCATCACTGCTCTGCAGATAGAGTAACTAAATTAGGCAGAAGAACCTTTAGGAGGAATATGACGGGAAGCAAAATCCTGACAGCAAAGCCTGTTAGGCTTCCCTCAAGGGAACGCTTGAGTCATTTGAACAATAGACTGGACCAAGTGCTGGAAAATGGGCAGGAGGGAATAAATCTGCCTTAGCAGAGGGATGTATCAGATGACCTCACAAGTTGTTTCCACCCATAAATCTGGGATTCTGTGACAAGACCTGAGCCAGAAGAGGGCTGGGGCAACATCACAAATGCAAACACCCATATCCATGTACGTGGGAGATCTGGGTGACCACACTGACCTATGCGTTACATGAATGACCACGCATATTCCAGTGTGGAAACTGCTTTCCATCACCCATGGATTTGGGATCTGACTTGTGGGTGCACCTCACCACCCAGCCCATGTCCTGTTTACAGGGTGAGGGAACACACCTGGGACGTCTGTGTCACTTAGTTTTTTTCATAGCTAAAATACTTCATCTGGATTAGGCTCAGTAGTTTCTGGGGCATTCCAGATTACCTTTTTTCTTCTTCCAGTGTTGGAATTTTGGGGACCTCCATCTGGAAATTTTTGTGGGAAGGAAGGGCCCTCAAGTCTGCTGATCTTAATCCAGACCAACAAAATGTAGGCCTTTCTCCCAGCACCACAAATTTAAAAAAATCACAGTACAGAAGAAAAGAAACAAGCAACAAATATTAAATTATTAAAAAAACTGGGGTCATTTTGGTTTATAATAATGAATAATGCACATAATTCACCTGCTAGATGTTAATACTCTTAGTATCAACTTCATCCCTTCAAGGATTTCAATTCTCAAAGAAACCTTCTCACATGAGTAAAATATCAGGATGAGGAAGCAGGGACCTGGTTCCCAGGAGGTGGGAGAGTAAGCATGAGACATTCTCTTCCTTATTGCCTGTAAAATGAAGCTCTCATTCATACCTATGCATGTACATGCCTGCACACTACTGCTGGTGGCTCAGACAAAAGTCAGGGTTCAAACCCACCAAAAACTTCTCGAAACCCCCATTCCCACTCTCCTTCAACTCTCCAGGGAAGAGGGATGGAGTGCCCCACTTCAAGCCTTTCTGTGCTCTGTGTCACCACAATTCAGCACCACTCCTACCCTCCATCCATCCCTGCCTACCAACAGCTTCCCATCACCCTCCAGCAAAGAGCATCCATCCGTCCTGCCTGTGGTTCCCCCTCCCATCACCCACCCCAGGAAAAGTTTCCCTCGTTGTTAGTGAGTCTCAAAAAGCTTTATTAGCCCCTCATTACCTGGCAGGACTGACAATAAGCAATAACCAACAAGTCATTTAGGCAAAGAAAGAGCTCCTGAGAGTGCCATTATTAATTCTGGGTATATTATTTTGTGTGGTACTGAGAAATGGCACTGATTCAGGCTCTGAACACAAGTCAGGGAGCTCAAAGCACTCCAGGGACCCACGTATTCAGGCACACAGTCATGGATGTACATGTGCATTCCCACTCCCGGTGATGCCTATCAGCCAGGGGAAAGGAGGTGAGTTAGTCTGTACTGCTCTGGGCACATCTACAGCCAGAGTCACACCTGATCCCTCACCTTGTCCTGCCAGACACCAGCTCTGAGCAGCATTCTGCAGTGGCAGCTCTCCTGTTCCCCTGCCACAGCCCCCTCCTGCACCAGGACACAAACACCCCTTTTCTCAATCATCAAAAACTCAGCCCTTCCCTTCACTGCACCTGAGGGAACATCAAAGCTTCAGCAAATGCTTAAAAAACAGTTC